TAAATTACGGACATGGCATCTGAGGACTAATTCTCATTTGTCTCAGTTATTTCCAGATTCAACTTAAGGCAATTGTTCTTCCATAGAGACCTCTTCAAAAACAGCACTTTTAATCCACCAACTGTGTGAATTAATTAACCAAAGTGGATTAATGACAAATTTGCGAAATTTGGTTTAAGAGAACAGTCGTGACTAACGATGCATCAGGGAGTTACAGTACGTGGTTGTACAGGACATGCACTGACAGACCGGGAAGAGAGGTGCGGCAACAATGTAAAATATATCAACTTTTTTTTTTTATCAAGCATAAAAAACCTATTCTAGACCCACAAAACAAAATAAAGACTTTGAAACTCATTGAAAAGTCCCAAATTTGCTGTACAGTTTCGCTCTACATCACACCTGATAAAGTTTAACCTATAGTAATCGTCCTTGTCCTCATGATTTTTTTTTTTTTTTTTGGTCATGATCACCACAATTACAGACTCTAGTTCACTGTCATCAGCAAAATGTCATCCATTTAGACTTGGACTTGAAAAGGTTAATTTGAGGTCACATTTTCCTTTTATACTGTGATCTTCACTGATGATCAACTAATCCCACATTGACGGTGAAGGATGTCCTGACTGGAGACGTGGGCATGTTCAAGGGTTTAACCCCATTTGCCCTCTCTTTTATTTAACCTCCTGATTTATGAGTCCAGGCATAGAAGAGAAACAGCCATGTCACTGAACATATGGTCCACGAAATGACCCAAACCAGCATTGTGACGCCCACTGGATGCCTCCGGTATGCATGCGATTTTGATGAACATGCGTGTGTTTTTATTTGCCATATTCAGTTATTGTTTTAGTTAGTGTTTTTGTCTGTTGACCAAAATATCCTTCAAATACAATATCATAATGTCATATAACTAACATAATGCATAATTCAAACATTCAACCACTTACATTAATTTAAATGTGTCAAAATGAACAAAAATTATTGAGCTCGTTAAATAATGCTATAGAGTACACAATTGTAATAAAAGTTTGTGAATTCTTTTAATTTTAAAGTCACCATGAAATCAAAATTTACAAATCTATTTTTTTTTTGTTTTTATGGAATATTGCAGTGTTTATTATAAATGATTTATCTATGCACATCATTTCTTTAAATTCATGTGCCCTCATAACCATTAATTAAAATAACTTCCCCTCCCTCGTACAGTGACATTCTCTTCTTTTATTGACGTGATTAGCGTGACGGCGGGACAACGTCACTCACATGAGATCGACCAATAGCAAACCACAACCATCCACTCAATCCCCCATGGACTAGCCGTTTCACTTGGATACAGGACACTTCAGAAACACACTTGAAGCGGTTGACCAATCACAACATGGTCCAGAGGACCAATCAGAGCACATTGCGCTTTTCAGAAGGAGGGGCTTCATAGCTTCAAAATCGTTAGCCAACTATGGCGGCAAGTTCAGCTTAGTTCAACGAGTCGTTTTCCGAAACCATAGTTCCAACGAACATTCGCAAACAGCATCGCAAAGTTGTGTAGTTGGAACGGCAGCTCTCATCCTGTGGTTGGCGTTTTTAAAGAGTGTGCATGTGCATTCGTGCTCTAGTATGGAAGAAAAGACTATCGCAACTTCCGTTTCATGAATTTTTCGTCTCACTCTCTTTGACGGTTCCAACCCCTCAATAACAAACTTTTTCAGTAATTTTGTTGAGGAGATAAACACTGGACAGCCGTTAAGTCAATTCATTCCTTAGTGATTGGTTTTTGTTCAAATCCAAAATGCATGCCAAACACCACTATAAAGGAAGCCTTGGTCGTCTGTCTGACTTTTTTTCCCCGATTGCTGTCCATTAACCGATCGTCCCACCGCAATGGCAACCCCTACCCTGCCCCTCTCCACCGCTCCAAACAAAATTCTTTGGAAAGTCATCTTATATCACCTTTTGAACGTGCATTGAACTGTAAAACCACCCCATTGGAAACAAAATAAAGGGATTGAGGATGGGAGGAGATGGAGGGATGGGGGAGGGGGGCGAAGGAGGAGAATTATAATTCTTTGCAGGCCTTCGGTATTAACCCAAACACCATCGCTGTCAGCGGCTCCGGGAGGGAAGCGCAAGGGCCAAACATTCAGTGTTAATTGGCACTTTGTAAGCTCCGAGCCTTCCCTTTGTGAAAGGTGGAGGGAATAGAAGATGGGGGGAGAGAGAGATAGAGAGAGAGAGAAAGCCAGTTCTTGTTCTTGCTGGGCCTTGTTGAGGGTATTTACGGTTCACTTCTTATCCTTTGTTAATTGGTATTTCTCTCCTTTATAGAGAAAAAGAGAGAGAAAGAAGAATTCATCTAACCCCCACCCTACCACCCATGAGTCCCCCAAAACAGAAGGGAAAGAGGAAGGGCTAGGGTACAAAAATATGCATAATTGTGCATTGGACTTCATTAAGCTCAGATACAGGGCGAAAACATGTCATGTCGGAATAATGCCCGAATACACATTCAGATCCAAGGCAGATGCCCCCTAATTATTTAATCAATACATCACCACAAATACTATCCAAGCCAACAGACAACCGCATAAATGATTCCTTTTGTTGTTAGCCACATTATTGAAGTACAAACACTGCTCGGAAACTGCTACCTTACTCACGACCAATTCGTACGAATTCGACGAATGATTAAAAAGTGGCTAATGCATAGTACTTCGTACGACCTCACTCTTACGAATTTGTACGATTTGTATAAAACCCACATGATGGGTAGGTTTAGGTGCGGGGTAAGGGGTAGGTCATTCGTACGAATTCATACAAATTGGCCAATTCGTAAAATATGTATGATTTAGCAAAATCGTACCAATTCGTACAAGTGAGGTGTCATATGAATTGTTACGAATTAGCCACCTCGTAAAATTCGTACGAATTCCCGTGAGATCAGGCTGGAAACTGTCTGTCTGTTTATCGATCTGTCTGTTTATCGATCTGTCTGTTTATCGATCAATCTATCTATCTATCTATCTATCTATCTATCTATCTATCTATCTATCTATCTATCTATCTATCTATCGATCTGTCTGTCTGTCCGTCCGTCCATCCGTTGTCTGTCCGTCCGTTGTCTGTCGGTCGGTCTGTCTGTCCCTGAGATAAACTTAATAATGCACCGGTCTGATTTGTGAACCAATCCTTCAGACTGGTTGTGTAAACTGGATCAACTGGTTCATTGAAAATACTTGAGTCATAAGAACAATTCCTTCATGAATTGGACATTCATTTAGTGAACTATTCCTTTAAATTTCATCTGGTGCAGAAATGAACACACACATTCACACACACCTCATGTGTGCTTGGGTGGGTGAAGCGTCCTAATTAAAAGGAGGGAAGGGCTGCAGCTTTGGCCTGTTTCACAGCTCTTGTGGCCTCTTCCTCCCCTCTGCCGAGTGTGTAAACAATAACAGTGGCCGCTCTGAAAGGACACAGGTGTCAACCATTGTGTGCTATTTGAAAAGCATGGCGAGAAAGGGGTTTGGAGGCTAGAGGGTGGGCTAACACACCCTTTCCATCTAACTACAAACACCCCCTCCTGCGTCTACCCTCCGCTTGACTAGCACTGTCCACACTGAACAGGACATCTGGGAACAGAACAACAGCGGTACTGTTTCTAGGTTCAGATGTAATTTGGGGACACTGGGGGTCTTTTCAAAAAGTGTTTTTTTGTACTTTTAAGTGTTTATGTTGTTTCTTAAAATTAGTTTTAAAGATGTTTGTATATCATTTGGAGATATAATAGAACAGACTGAGATCAGTACCTAATTTGACAGACAGTGTGTTGACTTGAGAATGGACTAGTTTTTGTGAACAAATCATTCAAACCAGTTTTGTGAATAGAATCAACTAAATATTGAAAAGATCTAAACAGTTATATTATAAAGCATGCTACTTCTGTCCTGAGATAGATAGATAGATAGATAGATAGACAGACAGACAGACAGACAGATAGATAGATAGATAGATAGATAGATAGATAGATAGATAGATAGATAGATAGATAGATAGATAGATAGATAGATAGATAGATAGATAGATAGATCTTGCAGTTCATGTTCATGGTGATGCAGGACAGGGTGGGGGATTTATTGCTCAGCATTAGGGGCTCTAATCTGTTGCAGGTGTTACTGGCTGCTATCCCAGGCAGCCGGGCCTGCGCCTTCCCCCTGGAGGCCCCATCATGAGTGTGTGTATTTGGGCATGTGTGGGTGTGTGTCTGAGAAAGAAGGGGAAAGTGTGAGTAAAAAAGAGATAGCATATGCTAATGCTTAAGGCAGTGCACGTTAAGTAGGAGGCGGTTCTGGCTTTGATTTTTTCCTCTTAAACCCAGTCAAAGTCAAGTAGCCTACATGAGAATTGATACAGCCTGGCATAATTTCAGCTCATCTAGCTCTTCGGTGAATTCAGTATATTATGACCCAATTTATAATTGCAGGAAATTAAAATGGAGCATCTTTTTAATGAAGGACTCCCTCAAAAGAGAAGTCTTTATCTTGATTATTGGCGGTCAATCATACAATAAATCCACCAACTGGTCAAACCTTGAATGGGGAACACGTGCATTTAACGACTGCTTCATGTCGCTCGCTACTATCAAGAGACTGCTGCCCTCTTCCGGATATATTGTGCTACAGCATTCAAAGGAAATAGCGTTAAATTGTGCTTGAGGTAAGAAAATAACCGGCTACAGAGAGGTTTAATGTAACTTAATTACATGGTTATGTATAGTTTCGAATCAGTGTAATAGCTATTAAAGTTACCACAGAGTATCTTTGTTTCGTATTCGCGCCTTTTTCTGATTTGCACTTAGTGTAGCCGAGAGCGCGGGGGTTGGGTTTGTTGTTTGAAATGCTCCTTTAAACATCTTAATCGTTATCAAATGTTGTACACTCTAAATGTTGAATTTTATCAACAATAAAACTTGGAAAATGTGTAAATAAATGCAGAAAGTATTTAGTGTAAAGTCTTTATTGTGATATTAGTTGTGGTCAGGTGTCACTGATAAGAAAACATGAGGTAAGTTCAGAGTGCTTTACAGCAATGGAGAAAACCCAGGGAATGTTTCAGACGATACAAACTACCAAAGAGCTTCTTCCAAAAAAAGGTCACACAGTTTTGAACAGACATGTTAAAATTAAAAAAAAAAAATAATAATTAAAGTTTATAAACACTTTTAATCCTCACAGCTGCAATAATTCTTTGATAATGTACTATAAAACACTTTAATCAATAGTCTAAATTTCACAACAGGTTCTCAAAAGTTTTATTTTAAGTCAGTTACATAAAATAAAAAGTAGATCAGTCTAATTTGATAATGAAACATAAGACTGATAAAACCTAACCAACTGCTAGTTGGTCATAGTTGTTAAGGCACAGTCTTAAATGAGAACTTGTTAGTGGTATTAACTAGCGATTTTTATTTTTCATTACTCTATGCCCTATATAGTAGAGTTATACACTAAACAGTTCGATTATCATGAAAACAAATCTCAGAGAACGGTCGACAAGGTACCAATGTGTTATTAGACCAAAGGTTCATTGTGCGCCATGCAGAGTTGTTCTTTAACTTAATGGCTATATGTTTATGCAACTGTCCCCAGGGCTTGTTCTTTCAGAGCTCATGCACTCATAATGCACTTCTCCACACATGGATTGCAAAGGCACTATCAGCTTTCAGTAATTAGTTCTGTATGAACTTATGTATCATATGTGTAGGAATTTTGAATTGCAAGATCTCTGTAGTAGGGGAACCAATCCCTGAAGAGACAGGCGTAGAAGGTGTACCAGGGGTAAAATGCCTCAGGCTGTCGAGATGCTCCAGCTTCGATAATGTGCCGGGCGGACTCATGTGCAGGGTAGGCGGTCATATTGATGTATCCTCTGCATTAAACACATAAGAGACATGAAGAATGTGCATTTTATCTGGAACATGAGCTGTCATGTGTGATAGAGATTGTTACAAAACTATGAGTTAGCCTACACAAGTAAGTGAACAACTGCTATTTATGACTTTTGGCCATTTGTTCTTTGGTATCTTAACTACTGCGCAAGCACTAGATAAAAGCTTTTCAACGTTTAATTGTCATTTATTAGCATTAAGACCAAAGACTTTGATGTTAGTTTGTTCTCACTTGATTTTCTCCATAGCACTATCTGTGTCGATCAGTCCAAGTATGCAGATGGTTATGGACACATTGCTTTTTTGCATTGCCAGCTCATGCTGAAGGCCTCCAAAGAAACCGTTGAGGGCAAACTTAGTTGCGGCATATGGTAAAGTGAAGGGGCTGCACATTTTCCCTGTGAAAAACAGTTAGATGTTATTTCAGCATTTGTTCGTTGATTGAAGCAGCAAGAGCTGTGAGACAAGTTTCATATTTGAATCACCTAGAAGGGAGGAAACAACAACTATCGATCCTTTACTCTTTTCAAGTGTCGGCAAAGCTTTCTGAGCCATTTGTAGGTAACTGAGAAAATTCACCTATAAGAGAGAGTGTATGATGAATAAAAACAGATCAGGTCATATATTTCAGTTAGTTTGACCATATGGGATTAAAAGTAGCATGTATAGTTCACCCAAATATTACCATTAAGACTTAAAGGTATTGGGAACCAAACGGTTCAAGGTCCAAATGAGAGTTTCAGTGCAGCTTCAAAGGGCTTTAAACGACACCAGGCGATGAATAAATTAAAAAGTTTTATAAGCACAAATGCTCGCCTTGCTCTGTTCTGTGATGAGCGTTCGTGACTCTCCTGTTCAAATTCGTTCATCAAAATGAACGAATCTTTTTTCGAGTCATGACTCGAAGGGTCCTAGATAAGACAAGATAAGCTGCACTGAAACTCTCATTTGGACCTTGAACCGTTTGGTTCCCAATGAAGTCCATCATATGGAGAAAATCCTGGAATGTTTTCATCAAAAACATTAATTTCTTTTCGACTGAAGAAAGAAAGACGTGGACATCTTGGATGACATGGGGGTGAGTAAATTATCAGCAAAAGTTTTTTTTTAAAAGTGAACTAATCCTTTAATGTGTCATTTGTGAGTATATGGAATCTTTTAGTTATTACATTACTATTAATAGTAATTCATTTTTGGCCTCTATTCACTTTCATAGGAAAATGAGCAGTCAGGACATTATGCGAACTATCTTCTTTTGTGTTCCACGGAAGAAAGAAAATCATACAGGTTTGAAACAATATGAGGGTGAGTAAATAATTATAGAAATCTCATATTTGGGATGAACTATGCTTTTATGGAAACCTTTTTTTCTCCCATTGTGATTCTACACCTGTAGCAGCCATCGCGTATGCTCCACATCTCCATTCCACATACTGAACGGACTGGGCCCAATGTGGTTCAGAACCAGGAAATCCAGCCCCCCGAGCTGTTCGATGGCGTACTGCACCACACGCTCGGCATCGGGCGGACTCGCCATGTCCGCGGGGATGAAAACGGCCTTTTGAGCCCCCATTTCCAGGCACTTGCGCACAACCTGCAGTCAGAGGAAGCATTTTGAAACAATCATACCTCCTTGAATCAAATGTAAATGATGAACAAAAGAAGTAAAATTCATTGACCTCTTCTAGGACATTTCCTCTCCTCGCCGTGATAACGAGTTGGGCTCCCAAACGGGCGTATTGGTACGCCAACTGCTCGCCGATGCCAGTGCTGGCACCGGTCACCAACACCCGGGCACCTTTCAAAGACTCTAAAAAGACAAACCACAGTTTCATGTTGACTAAATATCATAAAATGCCTCATAATGGTCTATTTAATGTTCATGATTGTAAAGGTCAAATCATAAAACCAGCCCTCTATGCTTTTTAGGCTATCGCAATTTCAGTTTTTTTAAAAGATTTTATATATACACCGTTTCCCATTAGTCATGCCCATTGGGTAGAAAGTTATATTAAACTTTTTCAATAGTCTCTCTGTATTATAATAAACAGTCCGCGGTAACAGTATTTATTTTAAGGGGCAAAACGAGGTCCTTTGTACAGCTGTTAACCTGCGGGGCAGAGACGCTTAATTGTATGAATGTCACAGCAAAATATAAGCCTTAACTGATTCTTGATGCTTGGTAACTGTATTGAATATCTATACATTTATGAGCATATGTGGTGATGTGTGTGGCACTTTTGTCTGAAGAATACTCATATTGATGGCAATCAAATGTTGGCTTTTGTAGAAACCTATCACATGAGTTGCCAATTGGAGAAAATCAATTTTCACTTAGATGGAGTGCATTAATCAACTATATTAAATCTATTATGAATGGAACAGTTCATGGAACAGTTCATTCTGGTTTACAAAGTTCATGCAGTTTTATCATGTTTCTTTAACACACACACACACACACACACCTACTTACACATAAAGTAATAAAATAACATTGAGCATTGCATATGCAACTGGTCAGATAAGTTTTGTTATCTTGCCTTGCGCAACACAGAGCTGATTTTAACATCTCAAAGTGACAACATTTTTTCTAAATAATGATGAATGGCATTTCACAATTCACATTTTAAATCTGACTTTTTTTTTTTTTTTTTTTTTTTTTTTACTGATTTCAAACTCCTTCAGCTCCTAGTTTTTCTACAGTATATTATTGGAGATATTTGTCCAGTAATATGCTGTAGAAAAGTATGTATGGAGCTCTTTTCATTTCTGAAAGCTTACTTGCGTTTTGAGGAACATATTCAAAAAAACATTTAAACTAAAGGAACATTTTCTTTATTACTTTTTCAGAATTAATATTATTTGACCACATAGCTACAAAAGAGAGAACAGACAATATCAACTGCAAGGTAGGCTATATAAAATATTAGTCTGCAAAAGTGCAAATAGCTATTTATTCTAATTACCTGCAATTGCCTATAACTATTTAGCTAACGTTACTTTTAGAAGCACAAATATTGCAACAACAACAAAAAAGGAAGACAAAAACATTTCTTCCTCCTAAATCCTGGACTGACTTATCATGGGTCTTGCACATGACTTTAATCTGGTAGCCTATTATTACATAGGCTATAGCCATTAGCCAACTATTATAAATGTATACATTTTATTACAGCACAGATAAACAAAAAGGCGTCCGTTTAACGTTAACTCACCCTCATTAAACGACGTAGCACTCCATTGAACAGCAATGAACGCGACGACTATGCTGCACAGTAACAGTAATTTGGCATAAAGATGCATTTGTTAAAAATTGTAGAAGATGCCACAGAACAGCTTACAGAAATGTGACCTTGAACTGATCAACTGTCAAAACTTAGTCGACATAACCAAGAAACCTGCAGAACTAGATCGTGTCAGACAGGCGGAGCCAAACCAAAGTACAATCCGATTTAAAGTGCCGTTTAAATAATCTTGAGAGCAACAAACTGGTGCATTAACAATTATTAAAATTTTTGTTGTCATTATTATTTAAAAATATTTTTTTCTGTGTGTGTTTATGAAAGAAAAAAAAAGAAAACAGACTAGAAAATAAAAACCGAAAGTCAAGTCATGAAAGGATTGATTTTCTGGAACATCTGCATGGATACGCTATTGAGTTACTTGTTAGATTTGACATTGACAATATTAGGGCTCGGGAAGAGATTCCGTTAACATAAAACCACAATATTACATAATACTGAAACAGCGGCTGTCAACAAGTGCACGGAGTGGTCTTGGCGGCACATTCAACAAATAAATAAAACAAAGTCGTTTATTATTAACACTAACAAACGTGTGCTTTTATTTATTTATTTACTTTTTTTAATTACAGAAACACAAATAACATGTATATACATCCGACGTTTATTTAGTCGAATCTGCGGATTGCAAACTTCTTCTGGCATTCAAAACCAACTTTATTGCTTCCAAGGCAAGTTCCACTGGTGCAAATGCCCTTGTCAGTGGAATTCGCTTTCAAGTAGAGCAAAATATTTAGTGAAGTTGAGGTTTTTTTTTTCCACAGTTTTGCACTTTTTAGCATACTGTTGCTTTTATGACCATGGCTGCCAAGATTTTGCCTGTAGTCAAGTAAGTGTCATCATCGCGTTGTTGTATATGGAGCTAATTAGCAGTTAGCTTTCAAGTGTCTGGGGTTAAGAGTTATATTGGTTGCCATATTTTGTGCATTATTATTTTTGATAGTTTTCTATATATGTATAATACTTGTAAATTAAATTAGCATGCATTTGAGTTCATATACATAGTTCGTTAAAAGGATAGCTAGCGTGCTAACAGACAACTTCTCAATGTAGCTTTTTGACTTCGAATGACTAATGGTTATGTATATTTTAGGTTTGCCACAAAAGTGACCATTGCTGGAGGAGCCCTATATGTGGCACATGATTCGGGACTTCTTGGAGGTAGCGAGGAGGGATCTGTTGCCTTGGGCCGAGCTAAAGCAGCCATCCCACCAGCTGTGGAGGAGTGGATGAAGTACTTTGGCTTTGAGGTACGAAAAGTACTGAAACTGAACGTGTAACTGAAACTGAAAGTGACATTTAGTGCAGTGTAAAGGTATATAAAGAACGTAAGATGACACCAACTAAACTACCTCACCAGGCATTTATTTACAAAGATGTGACAGCAGGGAAATAATAAATTAACTTACTATTTAAAAAAGTAGGATTGATAAGTTGGTTGATAAGTTTAAAGAAATACTTATATGCAGTAAACAAAAGTGACAGCAAAAACTTTAATAATGTAACAAAAGACAGCAGTATAACCTTGAGATATTTTAGCAATATCTTGGATTACATTCGCATTTTCTGATAGAACAAAATGTTATTTTACAGTATATTGGTTAAAATTACACTTCAGTCAGAGTAAAACTGACTTAAATCACTGAAACATGATTGATGAATTGTTATGTTCATCATAAAAATGAATACACATGATACTTTTAGACTACTTTATTCAAAAGTAAATAAATGTATTTTTTTTTAAAAACTCAGATCATCGTTTTTATGATTGTCGCTGTCACGTTCGAGTACTTGACTGATCGAGTACTGTGCCCGTCCCTAGACAGTACCCATACCCATTTATTTGGACCAACTTGATCCAACTGATTAATTATTGACGTATATATTTTTTACCAGCTGGTAAAAATACACAGTTTTGTGTTTTATATTGTGTAAGTTTAGGGCTAACTCTCGTTAATATTTGTGCAAATCAGCTGTGCGAACATACGCACTGCTATAGATACAGTTCCTGCATTTGCACAACAATATATTTGAACATATACACATCGGTTTGTGTTGATGGAGACCAATCACGACAGGCTGGGCCATCTGGCCAATCACTGCAGAGTGTGAAAAGAGGGATTTAGAGACTCTGAATCATTGGACGAGTCGTTATTTTAATAATGTGATGTGTGTGTATATAATGAGAAAATGCAAGTGTTTTTTGTTTTGTTTTTTGCCTTTAATGAAGGGCTGTCGTGAAGGAATGTCCCTTGCTGTAATTTTGAGTGGCTCAATAGCGTAATATGTTTGATATATTTGTTGCTATTTAAATAAGTGTTACTATGTAAGCATGCACAAAAATGAGGACACATTCAGTACTTATTTTAACTTTGAGCTCCACTTTTCAAAGCTCAGCTGACCAGCAATGCGTCACATGGGTACCGCTGTAGCTTGTCTGAATAGAGACCAATGGCATTGATTCAATCCATTGACCAGTGCTGACACCATTCATGGTAAATACCCTTACACGTTAAAAGGATGACAAATACTGTATTTCCTTTTTACGAATATATATGACTTGACCTCAAAGACAGACGCAGTAATCGCAGGTACTTGGTATCGGTACTACAATATTGCGGTTATCGCGACAGCCCTACTTTGATTGCATGTAAATCTGTTTTAGAAAACTAGAAACCTTTAAAATAGCAAAATAGTGGCACTTAAAAGCATACAAGAATGATTTCTGAAGGATCATGCGACACTGAAGACTGGAGTAATAATGCTGAAAATACAGCTTTGCCATCACAAGAAAAAATACGTTTTAAAATGCATTCAAATAGAATACATATTTCACAATATTACTGTTTCAACATATTTAATGCAATATTTCAGCTTCCAGCCACGCCCAAAATTGAGTTCTCCCCACTGAACGCATGGAACTCAGGTAAAGAATCGTTTATTTGGTGGAAAATGTTTATATATCTATAAAATCAGTTTACTGTAGTCTTGTAATCGCTCTGTTTTTTCACTCAGGGGTCCAGAAGTCTATTCACGCTCTATCGGTTGCTCCATCCACAATTAATGACTACACCAAACAAGGCCTGCAATATGTTAAAAACCATTTAAAATGAGCATTTAGACCTTACAAGACGCACATCAAGAAGCTTTTTCACCCTCATATACGCCAGACTGAATTCCATTTAAGTTTTGAGGAACAACATTCAGAGTTTGTAAAATTCAAATACGAATATTGCAATGGTATACATGTTCACTTGTTTTACGCATGCGCTTTTCAGTTCCAGAAAAAACTGAAACGTAGTTTTGAGATAAATCCAAATTTAAAGATAATAATACAAGAGTGTTCTATATGTATAGTGTTGTTGGACTTATTTATTTGAGGAATTGGTTTGTTCTGGCATTGGCTCACCAAAATTCACCTTTCATATAGGCACAAATGTATTTTTTTGTATAGTTTATAATCCCGTGTTGCTGTGTCTAATTTAAAATAAATCATGTCAAATATTTTGATGGAGTTCTTCTGTGTAAATGTGTTTTTTTTTTTTTTTTACATTGTTTACAAAGACTAAACGATCTGGTAACCACATAAAAGCAGAAGTTAGTAACACTATTCAGCTTTACCACAGAGTGATGCTGCATTTGTGTCAAGATGGACCCTAACCATTTTCTGCAAGTCTTGACTCATTTTGAAAGTTTTCTGTGGCCGCATAGGTTTTATTACCAGAACATGTTAGATTAAGAGAACTTATTGTGCGTGGAAAAAATACAGGGTTTGTGGGTTTTGTGTGCATTATGGCCTACATAGTTTAGCAGAGATCTGTTTAAGCCTAAGGACATATAATGAATGATGAGAACTTTTTCAGAAGCAGTTTCTTTGTTTCTTTCAACCTGCCTAATGCACCAACAACGTGTTTGTGACCGTCAAAGAAACAGCAAAATGAGACTGAACGACCTCTGTTAATTTCTGTTGAGACACCTTGACAAATCAATTGCTTGTGTCTTTGGGGCTTTTTAAACAAAGCTTAAAATTGAACATTTATTTTTTTGAAGGAGTGTATGTGTCTTCTCAACTTTTTTCCCCCCCAGTGCTGCCTCTATTTTTGTTTAAAAAGACTGTTGTGTAACTTCTAGGATGTGGTGATGGCTGTGAACTTTAGCTGTGGTTGAGTATCAAACAGCCCCTGAAAGGTTTCGTTCTCTGTGAAGTGGCACTTTAGAGATAAAGAGTTGTTGATTATTGAGTCTCTTTTCTTGCTTTTATTGAAACATTTTGACAGGTAGCATTCACCTCAAAATAAAATCCGAGTTAGCAAACAGCACAACAGTACAATTCATTTTCAAAGATATCAGGCACCTCCATTGATCACCTTCTCGATCCAGTCTGTGTATTTAGAAATTTGAGTGTAAATATTGGGAACGTTTGGGTAGTCGCAGCGACCCATGTTGAAAGAGACGATGCCCACCGCTTTCCCACTGCACACTAGCGGCCCACCAGAATCACCCTGCAAGGCAATGCATTTCAGATTGAGTTCAGAAGAAAATAGAATAGCAAAAAAATGAAATTTCACCAAAATATTGCTGTAGACGGACCTGACAAGCACCACTTTTAGTCTCGAAACCTCCAGCGCACAAGATATTGCCTGGGAGGTTTACTTGCAGTTTTTCCCACATCGTCTTGCAGATTGTGAAGTTGATAGTCAACACGTCTGTGACCAGCAGATCGTTCACCACGTTATGCTTTTCGGTTTTACCCCATCCAGCAACCTGGCACTTGGATTTAGGCTTCAGTGGTTTGTCCTTGCTTGGGATTTTGATGGTTTTCACATCTTTGCCTTTCAGCTTCTTGGACAGCTAGAATTCCACACAAGAAAAAGTACTCCATCTATAGTTAAAGTATAAATGTATCTATTATTATTATTATTATTAATGAGATATTGTACCTTCAGAAGCATGATGTCATTGCCAGCTTTCACGTTTTTGAAAGATGGGTGCTTATGTTTATGTTGCACTGTATATCTTCTCAGATTCGCCCCTTGTGGACTGATGTTGTGGGTGCCCAGGACCACAGTCATGTTGCCACTTTAACATTAACGCAATTACAGATTAGTGAACAGTTTTGTTGAACAGCAAACATATCCCAGTTTAACAGTAGACTAACTATCATATTACCTTTTATCGCAGTGTGCGGCCGTGAGCACGTAGCTCGGGTCGATCAGGAATCCTCCACATTTGTGTTGTCCTTCAATCTGAACTGATGCCATGTAAAGCATGGAGCTCTTCTTGGCTTTTTTGCCATTGATGATATCAGCTCCAAATGCACCTAAACCAATCAAGATGCAAGTTTGAGTTAACCAGAATTTGTTAAGTTATTATTGTATTATCAGTAAAGCATGATTTTTACTAACCAGTCAGTGTCAAGCTTGTCAAAGCCACTGAGAGCAAAAGGCTGTATGCTGTAGTCATCTTGGTAAGACTGAAGATTGCCAGTGAGACCAACAGTCATTTATATAGGCCTCTGCCACATACCACGACACATCCTGATAGACAGAGATGATGTAAAATGACACCTAATGCCTAGTGTGCCAGTCCTTGAATACAAGATCTTCTCCAGTATATCTTGGTAAAACCGATGCCTTTCAGGCAGGGACGTATTAACGCAGACTAACCTCTGTTCAGTGGGTTATGCAAATATTTTCTGATTATGCTTTTTCTGCAGTACTAGTAATTACTAGTGTTACTGGATGAAGGTTTTCAAATATTAGACAATTGACGAGCGCACAGCGCCCATGATAATCTTATATCTCCCCTCCCTACTGCAGTTTCAGTTGTAAACTCACACCACACCGGCGTTGTGCTGAACTCTTGTTGAGTCTGGTACCTGGTTGCCTAATCCTAACCCTAACCCCACTCCCACGGCTTATCCTAAATTTACCTATACTGGGGACTCAGGGGAGTAATAACCTGGCGGTGGTCAGAATTCAGCACAACACTTCTCACCAGTGCTGGGGAGCGCTTGTTTTCTAAACTGGTGCTTGTCACAAACAGGAACTGTTAATTTGACAATGCTCAATGCCATTGACAGTGCTCTGACCCAATTACAGTCTAATCTGCTGCCCATTTGTTGCCTGCAAATTTGACAATTCTCAACACAATTGGATCAGCCCTGCCAATGCTTTGGCAATGTAAAGCCTTTTTGTCAATAAAGCTACTTGAATCTGCATTTGTCAGTCGCTGATTGATTGCTATGCAGTTTTTCAAGGAAAGTCTGTTCACTCTGCGGCCAAATTAGCAACGCCTCTTGGGCATCCAAGACCAAGTCCTATCTATTGGAATGGGGGAATCCTGAAATCTCAAAAAGTGCTTGCTGTACTCACAATTACTGTAAGTCACATTTTAAATCAGCTAACATAATCAGCAACATAGTGTCGGCCCAAATCTCGTACACATGGATTTCACATGGCCCAGATCTGGGCCGACACTATGTTGCTGTCTGGGCTGGCCCGCACTGTCCAACAGATATTGTTTCATAGACTCAAATTGTGTTTAAAAAAAACTTGATTTCCAGGCTAGACCAGCCAATGCATGTGTAGTCCTAAGTGCGAGCCTCAGCTTCGAACGGCAGCTGCAGTGACGCAATAACTTTGCAAATCAGCGATTGGCTTAATTTTTAAGAAGGCAGGATGTATTTCGTTCACGGTTGCTGCGATACTCTTGTGTTACACGGTGTTCAGCCGCAACACCGGTTACATCAATTGCCCATCACTGTACCGGCCCCACCATCATTCTGATTTTTTATAGTAATAAAAATAATTTAGTTAAGTTAGAGAACAGACTCTACAATTAAAGACTGAACACATCTGCTCAGCGGCAGGAGACAACATGACATCCTGACTTTTGCGTAAACACATACGCCACTTTCGAGTCAGGTGGCGTGTTATCTCCACGCATTTTGAGCTATCCGCGTGTATCCGCGTGTATGCGTATATGTCTACGCCATTAACGTCCGCGTCATTCCGCGTGTCTGAACACGCAGTCAAATCTCCAGTCATAAATGCCATTAACCCCAGTGACGGTTAAGTTTAGGGATGGGTTTGAGGTAAGTCATATCTTTTTTTTACCTAGGATGGTAAGGGAACAGTCATAAATGCCATTAACCCCAGTGACGGTTAGGTTTAGGGACGGGGTTGAGGTAAGTCATATATTTATATAACGTTAAGTCAACGGCATTCATAAACACGCTGAAAGGCGATTATGCGTCTTGATAGCACGCCAAAAATGGAAATACGAATTGGCGTGTCATACACGTGCTACTTCATGAGATCAGTCTGCGTGGCGGAAGATTTGGTTCCAAAACATAATGTAAAAGCGCCTATTTTTGGCAGTATTTTGGATTTGAACCCAATGCTAATAGGGAACCTGCAAAGGGTTAGTTGGTTTTCTAGTTTTGGTGTTCATTAAGAATAATTGGCTGATGAAGCAATCATTCGAGCAATTGCTGCCCCTGAATTTCCGCTAATTCGAAAGTAAAATGTCTACTTCTTTATTTGGATTTTGACTGTAGATAACATGATGACGTGTTTAAGGTGTTGCCCTGGCCTTCAAATTCCCCAGATCTCAATCCAATTGAGCATCGATAGGATGTGCTGATCCAACACGATCAATCCTCAACAGCTCCACCTCTCAACAGAACTTGAAGGATCTGCTGCTAATGTCTTAGTGCCAGAGACCATTTTTATAAAAGCCACTTAAAAGCTCCAATTAAACTAAGGCCTAATCCTGGCTTAATCTAAGCACTATGTTTGAAACCGTGCATTTAAACACATCACATGTCGTCTTTATATTGTGATTTTTGGCCTGTCCCACTTTTGAGGTCTTGGCCTTGACTGTAATAAATAATTCTGGCTAAATTCAGTTTTTCCCACATCATCAAATCTAACTCTAACATTTCCAAATGTTATCAATTAACCTTTTTTGAATGCCAAACTCCTCCGTTAAATGTCTTTTTGTTTAAAGGAAAAACGACTTCATTAGTTTTAAGAGTTCTAGGATATTATTGAAGGAAAATAACATTTCAAACCAAATATTTCAGTCACTGGTTTAATATGCTGTCCATCCCTAGTTTTTATGTCTGTGTATGAATGCATTGTTTCTCTAAGTTAACCCATATTAAACTCGCAAGCAGCTCATGCAAATGTTTTTCTGCATGCCCATAGTTTGTCATTGTGAAAATACAGACTCAGTCATTAGCAAAACTATTTATTTGATCAGCAATGTTTAATCATAATTTGCAAAATACAGTAAGCATTACATTTTTTAAGCATGAAATGTCCATCATTGAGTTGATTCAACATGCGTTTTCACCCTTCATACTGAATCACATTAAGTTTTGAACAACAATTGAAAGTTTGTAAAATGTAATATATGGAGATTATAATGGTATAAACCAAAAATGTCTACTTTATTTTTGTTTTACGCAATTGTGCTCTTTGTTTGCAGAAATAACTAAAAAATGTATCTTGAAGTTGTAAAACTTCAAGGTGAATCCTAATTTGAAGATAAAAATATATGTGTTCTGGCACTGGCTCATTAAAATTGACCTTTCATATAGACACAAATGTAGTTTTTTGTATAGTTTATAATCCCGTGTTGCTTTGTCTAATGTAAAATAAATCATGCCAACTATTTTGATGGAGTTCTTCTGTGTAAATGTGTTTTTTAAACATTGTTTACAAAGCTATGGGAGTTAATCTCGGAAACGATCTGGTAACCACATAAGAGCAGAAGTTAGTAACACTATTCGGCTTTACCACAGAGTGATGCTGCATTTGTGTCAAGATGGACCCCAACCATTTTCTGCAAGTCTTGACTCATTTTGAAAGTGTTCTGTGGCCGCTTACGTTTTATTAACAGATGTTAGATTAAGAGAACTTATTGCGCGTGGAAAAAATACAGGGTTTGTGGGTTTTGTGTGCATTATGGCCTAAATAGATGAGCAGAGATCTGTTTAAACCTACGGAAATACAACGAATGATGAGAACTTAGAGTATGGAATTTGGCAGCAAATGCATGTTCTGAAGCAAACATGCCTCATGCACCTACAAGATCTAAGAAACAACAAAATGATACTGAATGACAACACAACCCACCCTGCACAACAATACAATTCAGTTTCAACGATATCAGGCACCTCCATTGATCACCTTCTTGATCCATACTCTGTATTTTGAAATTTCTGTATAAATATTGGGAACATTTGGGTAGTCGCAGCGATCCAAAGAGACGATGCCCACCGCTTTCCCACTGCACACTAGCGGTCCACCCAAATCGCCCTGCAATAATATGTTTGATATTGATTACAATCACATCGTTCGTACAATCACAGATTATGAACTATCCCCAAAATAGAAGTACCTGACAAGCGCCACTTTTAGTCTTGGAGCCTCCAGCACACAGGATGTTTTCTGGGAGGTTTACTTGCAGTTTTTCCCACATAGTCTTGCAGATTGTGAAGTTGATAGTCAACACGTCTGTGACCAGCAGATCGGTCACCACGTTATCCTTTTCGGTTTTACCCCATCCAGCAACCTGGCACTTGGATTTAGGCTTCAATGGTTTGTCCTTGCTCGGGAATTTGATGGTTTTCACACCTTTGGCACCTTTGGAAAGCTAGAATTCCACACAAGAAAAGTGCAGTTTGAACTCTGGCTGGTTATGTATTTGTTCAAATATGTATTTTAGATAATTTGTAACCCTCAAAAAATCTACAGACTGCTGTTTTAATGGCAAACAAAATAAAGAATTTAATTGTATTTAAATTATGACCTCTTAATAATTATTATTATATTTTATAAAACATTTGAATTTATTAATGAAATATTGTACCTTCAGAAGCATGATGTCATTGCCAGTTTTCACGTTTTTGAAAGATGGGTGCTTATGTATATGTTGTACTGTATATCTTTTCAGTTTCGCCCCTTGTGGACTGATGTTGTGGGTGCCCAGGACCACAGTCATGTTGCCACTTTAACATTAACACGATTACAGATTAGTGAACAGTTTTGTTGAACAGCAAACATATCCCAGTTTAACAGTAGACTAACTATCATATTACCTTTCATCGCAGTGTGCGGCCGTGAGCACGTAGCTCGGGTCGATCAGGAATCCTCCACATTTGTGTTGTCCTTTAATCTGAACTGATGCCATGTAAAGCATGGAGCTCTTCTTGGCTTTTTTGCCATTGATGATATCAGCTCCAAATGCGCCTAAACCAATCAAGATGCAAGTTTGAGTTAACCAGAAGCAGTAAGTCATTATTGTATTATCAGTAAAGCATGATTTCTACTAACCAGTCAGTGTCAAGCTTGTCAAAGCCACTGAGAGCAACAGGCTGTATGCTGTAGTCATCTTGGTAAGACACTGCGAAATAGACCAACAGTCATTTATATAGGTCTCTACCACATGACACATCCTGACTGACAGATATGACGCAAAATGCTGAATTTGGCACCTATTGTATAGTGTGCTTCAAAAACTTTTGCTTTCCTTGAATACAAGATCTTCTCCAGCATATATTAGTAAAACTATGGGGAAAACTCCATTTTTGGGTTCCTGTGATCTGGTTTGATTTAAACCCCAAGTCATGGCTTATTTTGAATGTGTAGTAGATAAATGGATCGTATGCAGTGAAGTTGTCAGATTTTACACAGCAGAGAACATGCGATTGCATGTGGCATTTTGAATAGGGTACAGACTAGTGTCCCACTACTTTATTTAATGCATTAGATGTACATTTCCTATGTTGTTGTTGTTTTGTGTGTGTGTGTGTGTGTGTGTGTGTTTGTGCAAATATTATACAAGTTTGATTTTATTTCATCTAGTATATACAATATTAGCTAGTTTTTAAACACATCGAATGTCTGATTTATGGTAACTTTGGCCTGTCCCAACTTTGAGGTGTATTCAGTCTTCCAGCCAGGTTTAAGATGTATTTTGTCTGTGTAAGAATGCATTATTTCTCTAAAGTGTTCTACACACAAGCACAGACATGTTGAGGTAGTTTTTGAGCATTCTCATTGTCATTTATGCAGACTGATCTCATGAAGTAGCGCGTGTATGACACGCCAATTCGTATTTCCGTTTTTGGCGTGCTATCAAGACGCATAATCGCTTTTCAGGGTGTTTATGAACACCGTTGACTTTACTACTGTATATATAAATGTATGACTTACCTCAACCCCGTCCCTAAACCTAACCATCACTGGGGTTAATGGCATTTATGACTGTTCCCTTACCATCCTAGGAAAGAAAAAGATATGACTTACCTCAAACCCATCCCTAAACTTAACTGTCACTGGGGTTAATGGCATTTATGACTGGAGATTTGACGGCTTGTACAGACACGCGGAATGACGCGGACATTAATGGCGTAGACAGACATACACGCATACACGCGGATAGCTCAAAATGCGTAGAGATAACATGCCACTTGACTCGAAAGTGGCGTGTATGTTTACGCAAAAGTCATCATGTCATGTTGCATTTATGTTCTCAGTAGAATCCATAATCTAAAAACCTACAATATGGCAATTTATGTTCTGTCTGTATTTCTTCCAAGATTTCTTGCAGTTGTGGATGTCAACAGTTGAGACACTCAAGGCCAGAAGTTCATTACCTGCTTTACTAACCCTTACCCTTTAAACCTACTTTACTCTACTCCTCTTCAAGAACAGTCATCTCTTCATTGGAATCAAATACAACACAGGAAGTCAAACTCACATTTTCTCATTCTAATGTCATTTGACTTCCAGTGGAACCAAAGATCAGACATTCTAAATAGTTTTTCTTTCCATTTAGTGGTAAACATGCATGGCTCATAAAAGGCAGGACAGTAAAAGTCATTATTCACAGAACATCTTCCCCTTCAGTGAGCTGTTGACTTGATAACCACTGCAACAAGTCAGTGGGCCCTATTTTAACTATCTAAGCGCATGGTCTAAAGTGTGCTTAGTGCGTGGCCAAAATCACTTTTTCTAGTTTAACGATGGGAAAAATGGTCTGTACACCCAACGCATGGTCTAAAAGTGTTGTCCGTAATATATTCTGTTAATGATTAATGGGTGTGTTTTGGGCATAACATGAAATGAACCAACCAGAGTCTCATCTCCCATTACCTTTAAAAGCCAGTTGCGGTCACGCCATGGCAAATTCGCAATTTACATATAGCGGAATTAAAGGCGCATATTACTAATGTGCCTTTTAAAAAAAAAAAAAATAAACAATACTGCTATTTCAGTTTCCTCAAAACAGCAATGTGCCAACAATGCCCCAGAACACACCTCGTTTTCAGACCTGCACGCCCATGGGCGAACAGATGGGTGCAAATGCATTTTCTATTTAAACAACGTGGCGCAGGACGTGAACATGATAATTGCGTCGGGCTGAAACTAGCATAAAACACTTGCGTCGCATTGCGCCGGATGTATGATGGGGCCCAATGATTTAAACTGACCAGATCAGTTAATTGATGATTATTTTGAGACAGTTCTTTTTTTAATAACCGCTCGATATGATTCACAAATCGTACTGAACAATTTATTCATAAATTACTTAATGATCCGGTTACAGCAGATTTCTTGAGGAATGCTCACTGGAGAAAAGATTTTCACTGAATAATTACTTGCATTTTGGCCTGTTCTTCACACAAAGCTATCTTTTCAAAGAAGAAAGAAAATCATTTGAGTTTGCAACAAACTGACAAATGTTTGGGTTAACTATTTCTTTTAAAAAGCTATGTTGTAAAAACTGTGTGTGCAAATTGCAGCTGTGGGCACATATTTAGAAATCCTCCATGTTCATGTTTTTTTCCGACCTATACCTAAAAATAGGTATTTTTTTCCGACCTAAAATAACTATACACCTTAAAAAAGACCCTGTAATGGCACTGGTGCAATGTGTAAAGGTCAAGCATTACTAATGAAAAAAGCTAGCTGTGAGGTGCAATGTGAATCATAGCCGTGGCGAGCAGAATCGCAGTAAAGCCCCTCATTGTGCTTGTGGCATGTGCAAAATGTGTCACTGCCTTTTTACTGCTCAAAGTACAAGGTCAGGCATGCCTTCGCTTCACAGTAAACCACAGTTCTGCATTTCTTTGATGTTCTGTTATGTTTTAGACACAATATCTGTTACTTGAAAAAAAGATTTATACTAAGTTAAAATGAAACAAAACAAAAAGTCAAAGAACAGAGCAATATATATAGATTACAATGCATGACAAGTCTTCTACGCAGCTAGAGTGTTTAAATCTGGAAAACTGCACATAAATACTTATTGTTGAAGACAATTCATTCAATCTTTACTGTAAATATAAATATAATCAAATTTAAATAGTTATGTTACAAAATGTTTTCCCAGTTTAAAGGGATAAGTCAGCCATTACCATTGTTCATTGTATGGAAAAAAAGTGAGTGAGTAATTTTTTTTATGTAGATTTCCCTGGAAAGTGCAAACACTGTGGCTTTTTTAGGTGCTTCCAGTTAGAATAGACCTTTTCTAATCTATGGTGATGAGTCTCATTACTTTTGCACAGTCATCAGGTTTTCTATTTCAGATGTCTTTGCAAACGTGTTTCACACAGGGTGTCTGACCACATGTGAAGCGTTGAGCCCCCCACAGGAAACCTGCTGAGCAGGGTCGAGGCCATCTTTCCACTGAAAAGTGTCGCATCTGATCAACATGTCAAATCAATCTCCAAAAATCCACGCATACATTCAACAGAGTATGTTGTTAGAAAATAAAATGTTTATTAATCAAGATTTTGCTTCACACTTCCCAAAATACATTTTATCCAAGGCAGAAATTTGGAAATCTTGGTGTAGACATTGGGTAATGTAGGTGAGTTACATTTCTTTGGCTGATTGAATGAAACAACACCAACTGCAACATTTTTACACACCAAAGGTCCTCCAGAATCACCCTGAGAAGTGGAGAAAGTTACAGGCTGTAAATACTATTGAACTGTTACACTATTTTTGAGGGCTTGGAGCCAGAGGGGCGTAAGTGGCTTTTAACAAACTTTACAGGAGAGACAAAACCTGTATTATTAACCTTAAACCACAAACATTGCAACCACAGGCATTACATGAATGAGTATTTAAGTAAAAAATGTATGGCATGTTAACACAAGGAACATGTTCTAAAATATATATATTAAAAAAAAGCCCTTTTGTTGTTTTATTCAAAAGAGTTTGATCTCAGATAGGTATTTTGGCACCATTGGATAGAGCTCATAGAGACCTTTATTTTGATATAAAGAACTCATATTCGCCCAAAATGCCACTTACGCCCCTCTGGCTCCAAGCCCTCGTTATGATGTCTCCAGAATTTACTTTGTACCTGACAAAATCCTCCACGACCCCCTGCGCACACCATCCTTGAGGTGGAGTATTGCTTCCCCCAGTACTTTTGACATGCTTTTTTATCAAAGATTGTGACATCAGCCTCCATAAGTTTATCACTTGCTGGACCATTGGTGGTTAATTTCCCCCATCCGGCAACACTGCATTGGGCCTTGGCCTTGATGTCCTTATCTTTCTTTGGTATGGAGATCCAGTCAACTTTGTTGGTCTTGTTGACTTTAAAATGCAGCTACATCAAGTAATTAATCGTTAATGCTGATCATTTTCAAAACTAATATCAATAACAAACTTAACCTAATTATTTTATAAGGATAATGGGAGGACTAGGTGCTAGTACTTTGTAATTGCTACATACATCAATAAGCCAAAATATTATGACCACCTGCCTCAGAATTTTGTATAGCATATAGTTAGGCTGAATCCCAATTCTCTGTCTTACCCCTTCCCCTTGGTCTTACCCCTAGCCCTTGTCCCTCGAAACCGAGTGGTAAGCGCTAGTGCAAACATACCCCTATAAAATGAGATACCACTCGGTTACGTCATCTTACATCGTCCTTAACTGGCGTCTGTGTCACCCGGGGCAACAAGTGTTGATCACAAACTTCTTGAAACTTTTAAGATGCCGTCAAAATGTCCGGAATTGGGCTTTAGCTTTCCGTCTTCACTATTCATTATGTTTAGATGCACAAGGTGTTGTTTCAATCGGACTGGATTCTTTCATTTAAATCGGTGAATCTGAATGTATTGTTGATCTAATATTCCCGTGTTTTCGTCTCAGTCGGGATCCGTTTGAAGCTGAATGCACCATCTGAGAAGCTGATCGCGTACGTGTCAGTGTCAAATAATGTACACATAATGAATGGCGATTGTAGAAAGCAAAAGCTGAATCCCGGACATTTTGGGTGATCTTGAAATGTGGGACTGATTGTGCAAATCAGCAATGTAACATTAGCATGGCCTAGCGTAGCAAAGTAGCGATTTTTAAAAACTTTAAAAAAACGTTTCAATAAACAGCATAGTTGCAAATATATATGTACATAATTGCGTAGAGCACAAAACAAGACAGTCATATTTTTTTACCCCTTGGTTTCAAGTAAGCTCACGAAAATTCTTGGTCTTAAGGGGGTTATATACCCCTTCACCTTACCCCTACCCCTACCCCATCAAAATGAGAATTGGGATAGCCCTTCCTCTCACGTGAACGCGCAAAACTAAGGGGAAGGGCTAAGACAGAGAATTGGGATTCAGCCTTAAGAATTAAATATTTTTCTTGCAGTTTGCTTTGAAAAATCTTGCTGAATCATTTACCTGAAGTAGCATGATGTCATTTAGTAGACTCTTAGACTCATACCCAGGGTAGATGTGGTAGAACTTGACTTCAATGCGGCTAGTACCATGATTATGGTCATGAGCTCCAACCACAACTGTCAGCTTCTCTCCTCTGTCAAGACGAAGAAGAAAACGTGTTTTAGTTGTAAACAAGGACTGCTCAAAATTGAGTTTTGCATTTTAGGCTTGACCTGCAGTATAACAATATGAATTTAGAACCATCTATGTTATGATGCTTCCATTACAAAGACACAAATGTTTAGGTCAACTTTAGTTTGGTAACTTTGGTTTAGGTTTAAGTTTAAACACATTTTAGGTTCAAACTATATTTGGCAGACTTCCTTTATGTCTTTACCTTTACCCTTTTGCGACAGCCTGAGACTCTGACTCACAACGAAATTCTAACTGAACAAAAAAAACTTACTCTGTAAAGCAGTGTGCAGCCGTCATGACAAACTGTTCAGACACAAGGAAGCCACCGCATTTGTGTTTGTTATTTCTTTGAATGGAGACCATGTAGGGTCTTGAATGAGGTTTGGCTTCCGTACCGTTCACTATACCTACATCCACAGATGCTGAAAGAGAAATTAGTTAAATAAGAATTTGACTTCTAGATTTGACTAAATCAATATATTGTGAGTAGTGATAGCACTGCATGAAATCTGCATTAAAAATGGCAATGCAATAGACATCTGTCTTTTTTTAATCAGACTCACCTTGAAGGCTCAGAGATGGTAACAGTGTGACTAGCAAAAGCGCGGAGATGATCATGATGCTGTTCTGGGAAGGTTTCTCTGGAGTGCTTCAGTGTAAAGTGTTCAAGTATGGCTGCATGGTATTGCCCCTTATAGCTCTCGAACTTCCTCTTTCACAGCTTCGTGGTGGTCTCACTTTGCAATGAAGTGGAAAAGATAGCTGTGCTGTTTGCGTTCTTAATGTTAGTTGACTAATATGTGACATGTATTATGTAATCCATGCTTAATATTTCTTGTAAATTCTGTTAGATGTGAGAAATCAGGTGCGAGCTTGAAACTAACTGTGGATAGATAAGACTTGCCAAACATTTGCAGGAAGATATTACAACTCAAATCCTGGAGGCTTTTCACAGTTTTTTTTTTATTTCATTTTATTTTGACCTGTCTAAAAAGTAGGATTCATGATATCATTTCTGTTTTGAAATATGTTTTGTTTTTATTTCTGTAAGTTTTAGCAACAGGTTTAGCTGTTTCAGAAGTTGACTTGTCATTCCTTCATGTAGAAACTTCTGCTTCTGTGGCACCTTCCCCATGACTATTATCTGTCCTTTCTTGTCCAATCCGGTCACCTCCAATGGTGTTGTTTGGTCAGACTTCAATGGATGAAGGGGTTCTCCCTGGTTCCACACTGCTTTGTGTGAGACACCTGATTGTGTGACTGTATTTAGCTGTGTGGCTATGTGTTTGTGTGACCATGCTCCAACCTAAGGTGACAAAAATTGCTCTTGCCAGTTGTGATGCAAATTTGGTCCTGTTGCTGCTTTGCCAAGTATCGAATGCATGTTTTCGACTAACAATGCATCTCCACCTTGGTTTAAATGGCCCTTTCAAAGGGAATGGTTCGATCTCTGCTTTAAACAAGTTACATTTAGTTATCATTAAAGGATGCCGAATGGTTGACTCTGTGCCATATCATGTTCAGGGCTGAAACAAGCACTGTTTTCGAAACTTTATCACATGCTTCATCTCTCTGAAAAGATATGGCATTATTAGAGCAGGCTACCTCATCTGAGAAGTGCTGCTTTTTAGTCCAATCGCTGTAAAGCATTTTGGGATTTTTACGCTTTTCAGTCAGGGCTAACTGCTCAGCGAGTAGTTTGAAGATCTTGAATCTTTGCCTCAGACTTTGGTGCCTCTGCATTTTTAGATTGCACTTCTTTGAAGATAGACACGTTGGTAACGTCTCATTTGCACTTCAATGAGACGTGTGTATCATTTGCTTGACAGGATGTATGTTTTTAACTACATACTGCTCACAGGGAACTACACTAACCTTTTCCACTGGTGGCACTTGCGCTACTAACTTTTTCAGTTACTGGCGCAAAACATGATTTGGTCGCACAAATTATTTATAGTAAGCCGCTCTCTGGATAGTAATGAGTAATAATGAAACTGTACTGCATTAGGGGTGGAACGGTACAGAAGTCACGGTTGGGTTCATACCTGGGTCCAGACGGTTTGGTACGATTTTGGTACAATGGAGTGAAAAGCAAAACAAAAATGCAGAAGGCATTTTTATAAATCTCTTAAGCCTTGTATTTTTAAGTTGTTTCCATTTTATTAATAAAGGCATAGAACCAGTTTATTTGTAGTGCACTGACAATAGTTTTATATAATTAGTTTATTAATTAAATTTATAAAAAGACACAATGACCCTGATATATGTTCGGTAATTGTACTTGAATTAATGTAAAATTAATTTGCTATATTTCAGATCAATATATTTGTTTTCCTTAATTTTAATGAACACTTTATTCTCATCTGAATTATAAAAAAATGATTTACGTATAAAATAATTACCATTAAAACACATTTGATTTTCTTTTTTAATCAATGTAGAATCATGGACGCAGTACTGTTGGCAAACTGTGATGACCATAAAATGATAGTTTATATCTCTGGTTGTTGTTTCTGTTCCACAACACTTTGTATGCCATGTTTGGGGTGTGGGATGAAGAGAGGGATATTTTTAGTAATTATTTAATAAAACATTATTTAATTTATCTTCAGTGTGTTAGATTAGGTCTTCTGATTAGCCAATCAGGTGTCTTGACGTGAATCACACGATTACGATTCAGCCTACACAGCACAAAAAAAACTAGTCTAAAAAACTACTAGTGATCATATAACGTTAGTCGATGTCAATATCAGCGCTAGCAATATAATTAGTTACTCTCTCTCGCTCTCTCAGCTCGTTTGCGCCCTGTCAAAGCATCAGTCATTCTACAATACAACACTCGCCGATCAAAAAAGGCTTTGGCGGGACAAAAAGCAGACGATCCGACAGGTTTTAGAAGATTAAATACAAACCGAAAGAAACTAAAAAAACAGACCTGTCAAAATAGTCATTGATACATTTGTGACCCATTAAAAATTAGGGTCGCAATGGGATTTCAAAAGGTCACATATGCGACCATTTTGGTCGCAGTGTAGTTCCCTGGCTCATTTACTAGTGTGTCCTAATATGTAACTATGCCATGGTCTCATCTGACAGCTTATAAACTGTACTGAACAATGGTGAAGTTAATAGAGATATTAAAGTCTCCTACAATCTAGGTTTTATCGCTTAAACATGCGTTGATGAAAATAGTTGAATGTTCTCTTCCCCCTCTTGATCACGACCCACTTGCCTCATCTTTGGGTTTCCTGTCGGTCGGGTTTGCTGTTGGTATACCACTCGATTAACAATGCTTTGCTATTCTGTTGTCTGTATATTTAAAATGTAACTTAATAAATAACTTTAAAGGCTTGGAGAATCCTTGCTTTTATCACTGATGATGTTGAAAGCTAAAGTGGTTATAAGTTTCATTATCTAATTCTAAGCATTCAGGTTAAATCCTACGTTTCCCTATCAGTTCTAAGAAAGAAACCTTTAAAGAATAAGAGGTTAAAGAATAACAACAACTTTAGTGGAGTCAGATTTATTATATTGGAGTCAAATAAATATTTGAATTATACAAGTCATCCTTCAACTGCCTTTTGTTCTGATTATTGGTTCAAAATAGCAGCGTAAGCTTCCAGCCTTACAGAGCAGTTCTCTAGTAAATGTACTTTGTTACTGTTCACCTCTGGTCGTACTTGCTAATGTGAAATGACTTATGCCCCACATGTAATGGTTGTGATAAATGAAGACACTCAGACCGATCAATGCTTACCATGTGATACTTTTAATGATAAAAGTTGTATTTTTGGAAGAATTCAGGAAAAACCTTTCCTTTTTTTATTTTCAATAAAGTAACTTAAAATTGTTTCATGTTTTTATGTATCCATTGGAGATATGATGAAATCTTAGTATACACATTAGGATAGTTAAGTGAATTACAGTTTTTAGCGTCACCAAAAGATGTGACACCAACTGCAGTGTCTCCACAAACCAAAGGACCTCCTGAATCCCCCTGTTAAAAACACAGATCAACACATCAATAAAATACCATATCACAATTAAAACTCGATTGAAAATGATTACATACTTCACAGGATCCACCATGGCCATATGCACATATCATCTGTGAGCATAATTTTCTCCATTGGTTTTTACATGTTGCGTGATCCAATATATTCACTTTGGCCTCCATTAGACAATCACTCCCTGGACCGTTCATGTACAGACTTCCCCAGCCCGCAACACTACAATCAGGATCTTTGTTGGGGATTTTTTTATGTTTTTTTTTTGCTTTGTTTTGTTTCTTTGGTAATAATATCCAATTTACATTTTCGCTTCGTGTGATTTTTTTCTGTAGCTGTAATTAAAAAGCATTCATTATAAGCATTCATTAGATTAAACTACAGTTTATATTTTTCTCATTTTTATGAGGTTATAGTGCAGGTGCCCTGGAAGCGAGTTTTTTTTTTTTTTTTTTTTTTTTTTTTCTTCTGCATCTGGAACAAGTGTAGAAATTTACCTGCAAAAGCATAATGTCATGCTTCTTGATGTTGGACTTAACTCCGATGCGGACTGAACCCTCATTCTCATTTTTTAGGTTGTGTGCACCAACCACAGCTGTCAGTTCTTCATCTCTTTTGAAAGAAAGTAGAATTATTTTTCAAAGTTTTATGCATTCTTTTAATAAAACATATTGAGCATACTGATTTGATAACAAAAGTGTGTAAACTGTATACTACTGTCATTTTATATTAAAGGGATACTCCACTTTTTTTGGAAATAGGCTCATTTTACCACTCCCCCAGAGTTAAACAGTTTGGTTTTTACCATTTTCAAATCCATTCAGCCAATTTTCTGATATTTAGAAGAATACCAGAAACTGTCTGGTTACTGACATTCTTCTAAATATCAAAAAATCAGCTGAATGGATTTGAAAACGGTAAAACCCAACTGTTTAACTCTGGGGGAGTGGTAAAATGAGCTAATTTCCAAAAAAAAAGTGGAGTATCCCTTTAAAAGTCTCCATAAATAATCAACCATAATTGCAGTTCAGACTAAACACAAGTCTTACTTCATATGGCAATGTGCAGCAGTCAAGACAAACTGATCAGAAATGAGGAATCCACCGCAGATATGTTGTCTGTTCTTCTGAATAGAAACCATGTAAGGTCTGGAGTGGGCTTCGGCCACTGTGCCGTTCACTATACCCACATTCACATGAGCTGAGAGAGAGAAATGGTGCTGTTAGTTTACATATTCGCCATGACAAGGAACATGAGGCGTCAGCAATAGCGTCTATATGACATTGAATTAGTGATGAATCAATATGCAGTTCAGTCATTCTCACCAGTGAAGGTCAGGTGTGGCAGCAGAGAGGCCAGCTGGAGCAGAGAGATGCTGGTAATGATGGTCATGATGAAGGACACGATCAGTGAGCTCTCATGATAAAACACTGTATAAATATATACGGGTGGGTGGAGACAATGAGCTGCTAACAAGTCTTTTTTTTCTTCAGTTTGTGGATGAGGTGTTAATCCTTGTGGTCTCATTTTTATGCCACAGGTCTAGATCTAGAAGTGCTAAGTAGGTCAGCATACATTTTGTTACTGGAATATTTTTACAATTCATAACCTTAAACAACAGTATACATTTATGGAAAACCAACATAACAACCCAAGTGGCCAACACGACATCATGACTTTTGCGTAAACTTACACACCACTGTGTTATCTCTACGCATTTTGAGGTATCCGTGTGTATGCGTGTATGTCTACGCCATTAATGTCCAAGTGATTCCGCGTTTCTGTCCACGCCGTCAAATGTCCGAGCGAAACAAAGCAAAATGTAGATCGTAGATCTACATCTGGGGAGCGATCTGGTAGGGGAACACTCATAAATGCCATTAACCCCAGTGACGGGTATGTTTAGGAACGGGGTTGAGGTAAGTCATATATTTATATATACAGCGATAACGTTAAGTCAACGGTGTTCATAAACACGCTGAAAAGCGATTATGCGTCTTGATAGCACGCCAAAAATGGAAATACGAATTGGCGTGTCATACACACGCTACTTCATGAGATCAGTCTCGCAAATCTAGTAATATTTCACATATTTAAAAATAAAAATAAATATAATTGAATACACATTCATTACACTGTACTGTGTGTGTTACATTACCAAGGCAGTAAATTAAAAAAAAAGAAAAACACTGCTCCGAGGGTGTTTTTAAAGCAACGGCTGTGGGAGTGACGGCAAATTCCACATCAATCTCTCGATATTTTCCCCCCTTTCGAAAAGTCGCAGAAACGCCATCATGAATTTTTTTTATTACACTCATGAAGCAAATGGAAATACAAAAATTTAATTTGCTGTCATCTCCCATTCACTGCTATAGAAGTTTATCCAACTATGATGACTTCTGCTTCTGAGAACAATGGAAATGTAAAAGGCTCCATTTAGAAGTCAGATTTAGAGAGCTGGAGATGTTGACCTCTGGTGTTGAGTTGAGGGAATTGCAGAGGTAGATGAATTAGGATGGATGGCAAACATGTTCCATATATTCAGTTTAAATTGAATCAACTATTTATCTTACACTTCAGCTTTGTAAGATCTGAATCTTTGTAAACAGAACGAAAGGCTCAGAGGTGAGAAAGACTCCCAAAAGCTGCTCCTCATTCCTCTTAAATGTAATGTCTGAATTGTGTTTTTTAATTGTTACGGAGCAGACACATTTACCATTGTTCAGTGAATTTTTGCTGGCCAAATCCAAACCAAATGTGCATTCTGCACAAATTCACCAAGTTAAACGAAAACAGAATGCCTTGTAACCACTGTGCAGGCTGGTGGTGTAATGACGTGAATACCACAAATCTCCATCAACTGCAAGATGCTATCCTATCAATATGGGCCAACATTTCTAAAGAATGCCTTGTTGAATCAATTCCACATAGTATTAAGGCAGTTCTGAAGGCGAAAGGGGGTCAAACACAGTGTTAGTATGGTGTTCCTATCCCAATAATCCTTTAGGTGAGTGTAGATCAACATCAGTTTTATGCAAAATCTATGATTAATGTCATACATTTTCACATGACCCTTGAAATATAGTGGCATCAGAATTATATCCATCTGAAATTTTTTTTAATTAAAATATATATTACACAGAAAATGTTTTGAGCTGTTTTTTCTTTTTCTTTGGAGTATAGAGACATCAAGAATCAACCTATCAATCTCAACAATGGTGACAATCAACAAAGCCTCTATGTGACTTTATAAGAGTTCATCAAAATGTTTTTTTCATTGTCACCATTATTGCAATTAATATGCTGATTCTTATTGTCTGAGTGAATCTATGATCCTGTCAAAACATTTTCTGCATAAGGCATAATAGCACTACAGGATTTTCTTGGCATGCAAAATTAACAACTAATACATATATAATTTAATATTCAGATATTACACTAGGTGGCATCAATATAGCAGGAAACTGCATGAAGACTATTGTCAGTAATAAGAGACTGATCATTTGATCTAAGTTTCCCTCACATTCCCACAATAAAAATTATGTATCAGAAACACGCAGTTTAAACAGCCAAAAGAATAGTAATGTTAATACTAAAGGATCAAGAGCCCAACTAAAGCAAACACTGATCTCAATCATGGTGACTTTATTATTTTCAATAAAATATCAACTTAAAACCTCTGTTAATTCTCAATACATAGGTTAGTATGAGAGAAATAAAGTCTGAATTGTAATAAGTAGAATGTAGAGATCTTGAGAGATCTGTTAGTGTTTAATGTTCTGTAGGGAAAGTCTGAAAACATTTTCAAAACGTAGAAAATGGCTGATCGTTTTGCTAGATAAGACCCTAATTCCTCAGCTGGGATCGTGCAGAGCCGTTTGAAGCACTTCATAGCCTTTTGAAACTGCATTGATTTGGACTTCAAAACGTTGGTTCCAATTGAAGTCCGTTTTGTGGAGAAAAATCCTGAATTTTTTCCTAAAAAAAACCCCAAAAACTTAATTTCTTTTCTACTGAAGAAAGAAAGACATGAACATCTTGGATGGTGGTGAGTATATTGTCAGGAAATGTTCATTTTAAGGACAAAAACCTGAACCGGTCTCAGAATAAATCACTGGAACATGTCTTGAGATGTAGTAAATGGCAAGCAGAATAACTGACTGGAATTATATATAAGAAATGCTTAGCTTTGTGTCCGCATTACCTCATACAGTCATGTGAAAAAGAAAAGACACCCTATAAAAAAATGGCAGGTTCTTGGCAGGTCTTAAAATTAGGTAAATACAACCTCAGATAAACACCACATGACATTTTACACCATATCATTATTTATTTAACAAAAACTAGGCCAAAATGGAAAAGCCAGGGTGACAAACCATTTGCCTTTACTGCCTCTAGAGGAATGAAGAGGGTAAGTAGCAGTCAGGCAATGCTAATCAAATGTCTATGATGAATTGATCATCAGCAAATGTAATCACCTCTATAAAAGCAGATGTTTTGGCAGTTTGCTGGTCTGGAGCCTTCAAGTGTGTTAACAATGCCAAGGAGGAAAGACATCAGCAATGATCTTAGAGAAGACATTCTTCAATCTTGGAAGGTTTATACAGCCATTTCCAAACAATTCGAAGTCCATCATTCTAGAGTAAGGAAGATTATTCACAAGTGGGAAAGACCAATCTCCCCAGGAGTGGAAGACCCTGCAAATTTAAACTGTACAATTCTAAGAGTAATCGCAAAACACCCAAGACTGCACCTCAGACTCTACAGGCCTCTGTTAACATGTGAAATGTTAAAGGTCATGGCAGTTCAATTAGAAAACGTTGGATAAGTGTGGCATGTTTTGAAGGCCCGTCGAGGCCCATCGTCTCTTTTTCTATTTTTTCCTATCCTTTTCTATCTTTATCCTATCGTTTCAATGAAGGGTTGCCAGGAGATAGCTTCTTCTCTCTAAAAAGAACATGGCAGCACAGATTGGGTTTGTAAAGTTGCACACACCCATTACAGAAGACCGGACCAACAATAATGGACAAATTTTTCTTCTTCTATATCAGCATGGCTGAAGTAGTTCCAGCCAAGTCTTGACCAGTTCGCCAGATGATTTCATTTATTCACAAGAGCTTTGCAGCCTACCACAACAAAAGAATCAAAAACAGCATAAGGAATCAAGAAAAGAAACATAACTAACTATTAAAACTTAAATGAAATTATCTATAAACAGCACATCTCTTTCCAACCCACACGGTCACAGAAACTTGTTATCAGCTTTGCCCGCAAAATTTTATCGATTAGTTCTCATACTGAAAATCTACATGGTATTTCTCAGTAATAAAGGTGATAACATCACTGATAGAATTAGCCGCACAAATTCAGACACACCAATCTCTCTCTCTCTCTCATGACTGCATGTCAGTGGTCTATCCTCCATTGCTAGTTATGATTCTGAAATGACATTTTGAAATTAGCAATAGGAGATTGGGATAGAACACATCAAATTTCTCGAATCCCACAAGATCATTTTATGGACAAAAACCTCAACCTGTCTTAAAATGAAACACTGAAACAGGTCTTGAAGTGTGTTAAATATGGTATAATATTTTTTTTGTATTTTAGCTTGACCAATCTGAAAAAAATGCTTTGAGCTAGGTACTGTATCTCACTTTACCACAGTTATTGCAGTTTGGGAAATGTATGTCTTTGTCCTTTTACTATGTGAATGAGGCGTAGTTGCTAATATTAAATGACTTGAGTGCCCACCAATATTGCAATTAATGAATCGATTGTAGACAAACCCAAGAGCAGCTTTATTTAAATCCAAACATGAACAAAATACAAACTAAACAAAGACTTGACCTCCAAAACTTAAACATGAACAGAAACTCACCTAGCAGTAACACATGTTACAATATGGTTGTGACAATGAGGACAATTTTACTGATTAATGCTTGACATGTGCAGACTGATCTCATAAAGTAGCATGTGTATGACACGCCAATTCGTATTTCCATTTTTGGCGTGCTATCAAGACGCATAATTGCTTTTCAGCGTGTTTATGAACGCGGTTGACTTAACGTTATTACTGTATATATAAATATATGACTTACCTCAACCCCGTCCCTAAACCTACCCGTCACTGGGATTAATGGCATTTATGAGTGTTCCCTTACCATCCCAGGAAAAAGAAAGATCGCTCCCCAGATGTATATGTACATTTTGCTTCGTTTCGCGCGGACATTTGACGGCGTGTACAGACACGCGGAATCACTCGGACGTTAATGGCGTAGACATACACGCATACACGTGGATACATGTGGATATCTCAAAATGCGTAGAGATAACACGCCACTTGACTCAAAAGTGGCGTGTATGTTTACGCAAAAGTCATGATGTCATGTTGACATGTGATACTTTAATTTAAATA